AAAATTATAAATAAAATTGATAGCTTTGAAAAAATGGACCTAGTTGCATTAAGCAAAAAGCTGGCGGAAATAACCCCAGCCATGCATATGCGGCCTAGGAGAAAAATTCCCAAGAAGGCGGGGTGTTTTAATTGACGCGATAGATTGTCACTGGCCAAATATACGCCTAAATATAATTGATTTTTTTATTTATAAAAATATATAATAAGAATTAATTCTCTCTTAGAGGTGAACAAAAATTTTAACAAAAAAATTAACCAAAATTGACTAAAAATTAATCAAATGGTTTTTGATTAAACGGTTTTCAGTCATAAAATTATTGGTTTTGTTTATTTTCAAAAATAATTCCGTTGGTTTTCGGTTCAAGTGTCTGAAAATCAAAAACCAAATTTATAACCAAAATTATTAATAAAAAAACAAAAAAAAATATTTTTTTAATATCTTAAATATTAGTATTCGATTTGATAGATGTCCCCTAACTATAGTTTAACACTTCAAAATTCATTCTCTTTCTATACTTTATTTTATTTTTATTTATAATTTATTATTACCATATCTTCTTAAAAGTCTTATTGTAAGCTTTTTTTAATTACAGGGGAGGTGATACAAGAATATTTTTTTGTATATGTTTTATGTAATTTTTATGTGTTATTAAATAAATAAATGTATTTAATTTTATAAATTTTAAATAAATAAAAAATTTAATTATTTAAATAATACATAAAGTTATAAAAAAAAATAAAAAACTATCCTTATATTAGTTTCCTAATTGCAGCCACTCATCTTATCGGTTTAACTTTTCCTTCACTGTTTACCATCTTCGTTCTGTTTCTTTACCTATTTTTCTTCTTTTTCTTTTCTTCACTTATTTTCTCATTTCTCTTTATCATTTTTTTTTATCCTAGTCGAGGGTTCAGTACATTTAGAAAATTCAGTAAAATTTTTAAAATGAAATCCTTTATTCCTTCCATTTCATGTTGTCAGTGCTAGTGCCTCTTTTATGTAACTGAAACTTTTAATAAAAATTTTGTTGAAAAGAAATTATTATAAAAGTGTTATATTTGTAAATAAAAAAAAATAATGTATTAATTTCGTTAAAACTCAAATAAGAAACTCTTACAGAACCATCAATTCGATGCTTTTAATATTTGTAATGAAATGAAGAAAAAGCTACGTTATGAGAAGTAGTATTTTTCACTAATTGTAATGTTTGGTGTGATTTATACTTTTGAAATCAAGAAAATTCTTCCCACAATCTGCATCAAGTAGGCCCCTACATTTTTTGCCGGAGTCATTGGTTGCTATTTTTTTCTTCATTTTTGTGCATTCTCCTTATATGTACTCATAATTTCTGGTCCAGAATCTTCTTCAGTTTGCCCTTCATCTTTGCAAAAGCATTGTGCTAAATAATAGTGAGTACCAAAACCAAAATCATAAAATCAAAAATTTCGATAACCAATACCGAAGAAATAGGGGACTTTCGATAGTGGTGAATACCGAAATTGGCATTTGC